CCCAGCCTCACTGCTCGGGCTTGGAGTTGACCTTCCCCTGCCTTCAGCCTTAACAACTCGGCTCCCCACAAGGCGAAGTGTAGGGCCGCAGGGTGCGGCGGCCAGGCCTCAGCAGTCGCCATTAGAGGGAAGGAGGAGCGGGCCGGGACCTTCCCGCTCCTTCTGATGGCTCCCTGGAGCGCCGGCCCCAGGGCTCAGGTACCTTCTGTTCCATTGCCTCCAAGGAGCCTCGTCCACCAGGCCTGGCTTTGGAGAAGTGCTTTACGGTTGTCCTGACCTCCAGAGCTGCACGTTGAAATGGCCTCAGTCTGAGCCCAGCTGGCATCCCCAAGGCTGGAGTCAAGCGAGATGAAGGAGCGGGCTGTCAGGCCCAGGTGGGCGTCGGGATCCGAGGGGTCACCCGTGGACTAAGCAACCCAAAGCCACGGCCCCACACGGGCACCTTTGTTCTCTGAGCTCCCGGACTGCAGCCCGCCGGCGCTCCTCCTTCGGTCTTGCAACCTCTGGAACCTCTGGGCAGGAATTTCTTGGCATTTTGAATTGTCTTTCTTCGACTCCATTGTGGACTTGGCCAGGAATAGGGACGCAAGGCTGTGTGTGTGGACTCTCCCAAACTGGCGGTCTGAGTCAAGGGTATGGGTCTCTACTTTGTGTAGTGGGTTAAGGGAGTGTTTGGGGCCATGTGTGGAGAGAGAGAGAGAGAGAGAGAGAGAGAGAGAGAGAGCGATGCCTGCAGGAGAACAAGAGGGAGTGATGGGGAAGGTCTGGTCCTGCTGACATTGCCCAACTTTGGGGGGTCTGTAAGGGTGTGCCTCAAGAGCAGAGAAGTCGGGACTGTCTGGCAGGCCTGTAGCCCCCCTGAGCTGGTAACCCCCCAAAGCTCGGTCCAAGGTGGGCCTCAGGGAAAGACTGACTCCAGCCTCCAGCCTGGTATCGCCTTGGGCGGAGACAGGCAGCTTCACACACCTCCTCCTCCCCCCACTGGGGCCCCAGAACCTCTCTCCCCGCAACCTCCTAAAGATCCCGAGACTTCATTCCACGGCAAGACCAAAACTTGAGGTTTTTTGAAAAGGGAGGAGGAATCTTGTAAAACTTTTATGCCAAACAAAGTTATAAAAACTTCCCGGGCGTTGCCTTTTCCAAAGGTTTATATGAATAATAAAGAGTGTAGTCGCGTGCACGGGGCTCTGGCGGGCTCTGAGCAGGGAGGGTTCAGCAAACAGTGTCATCCAGCCCCGGGGCACCAGGAAACCCCAGGGACTGCCCCCTTGAGGGAATCGTGGCCCAGAAACGAATGGCCCAACAGATTCCCGAGAGGGGCGGGGAGAGGGAAGGGGTGGCGCCCTTGACTTCCTTGAAGTTCAAAGTTCTTCTTGGCTCTGGTGAGAAAATGCCCCTCTGCCTTCAGCCCACTCGAGAAATCGGCCCCGGAGCCCTTCTCCCTCCGACTGACCGGGCTCTAGGCTTCCCCAGGTCTGCTCCCCGGTCAGACACCTGGTCTGTAACTTTGCAGCTCGCCCGCCGCTCAGCGCCGTCCTCCCTCTGGGACCGCGGGCCCGGGCCTGCTCTCGGCGCCGGCCTAGCCGGCTTCCGAGGGGCCCCTGCAGCCCCATTCCTCGGCGGCCGGGGTCGGAGGGACAAAGAAACCCCAGACACAAGGCTGGCCCCAACCCATTTCTCCTTTCAAGTCCCCAAGGTTCTCCCTGTACCCCTAAAGCCCATGGTGAGAGGGGGAGGGCCCGGGCCCGGAGTGCTCTCTCTCAGCCCACACCACTTAATACCCTTGTAAACTCCCACGTGCGCTATAAACTTGGATTTTTACAACCAACATTCCTCCTTAGCTCCGAGAAACTTTGAACTCGGCCTCGGGTTTATTTACTGGGGGGGTGGAGGGGGCTGGGGAGCAGGGAGCTGAGAAAAGCTGGAAGAGAAGAGGGGAAAATGCGGGGCAAGAGGGTAATGGCGTGGGGGTCTGGGTGTGCTGGGGGAGCCAAGACCATCCACGGTGGGTTTGTTTACTATTTAGAGCGGAAGCATTTTCTAACACAGGCCAGACTGGGTCGTTAAGGGCGAAATGAAACTGGGTTTAGAGGCGCGGGGGGTGCTTTATGGCGGCGTCTAGACGGAGATCTTTTGTTCCCGGGCAGCGCCTCGGCTGGAGGGGATTACCCGGGAGGCTGAGCCCGAGAGCCCCGAGCCCGAGGGGGGCTGGACATCCCAGGGGCCAGAAGACGGGTTTGTTTGGGGGACAGAGACCCCTTTTTCTCTTTTTAGAGGGTCGCCAAGGACTGGCAGGTTCCGGGCCGGGTCACAGGAGCCTTTGTTGTTCTCTCCCTACGCCCCGGGCCTCCCGAAATTCCTTCTGGTCCCCGGATCTTTTCTGAGCCCCCTATCACAGGGCGAGTGGTAGCTGTAGGTTTTAAATATTTTTCTCCTAAATCAGAATCCATTTGGACATTAATATTTTGCTCTATAGACAGGTTTGCTCTATAGAGTTATCTCCGTCTTCTAGGAAACACGGCCAGCGTGCCAACATTCCCTGCTAGGACTCGGGGATAAATAGCCTCGGACTGGGACAGGTCTTGCGCGTGCACAGGCACACGCACACGCACACGCACACGCAGAGCACCCTCAGCCTCATCATTGCTGACACTCAGCAACACTGCCAGTGGCTACACACCACAGAGGACGTGAGCCCTCAATGTGCATGTGGTCAGGTTTGCTCTACGGAGAGCGTGCATGGAAGATCCACCTCCCGGGCACTAGGTACAGCAGCCTCCATACCTGTGGGGGGCCCCTCAGGGAGCCGTGGGGCTGCATATACACCCTAGCTTTCAGATATTGCCTCAAGACTCCCACCTACAAATAAATTACAGCTCCAGATGCCTAAGCTGCCCGGATCCCTGTCATCAAAAACAACGACGGAGCCCGGATGCGATTGTCCATGATGGGGTGTTTGTCCATCCGTCCCCAGAACCATATTGACAAAAACATTTTCTTTGAATTGCATAAGAACAGTTCCAAAGAGAGGGAAAGCATGAGAGAATTGGTTCCAAATCTTTGCCCCTAAATAACGAATGAATTTGGAACAGAGACTGCCAGAGTGCCCTCGCTGAAATCGCTTGAAAGGACTATGGTTATCTTTATACAGAAAAAAAAAAAAAAGCTAAAAGCACCATGCCGCAAATATAGGTAGGTACGGTGAATGTCCCCATGGGTCACCCCCTTATCCAGTGCCCCACCTCATGCCAACCCCTTGCAAAACAAATCTCTGGGGGGTTCTACTCTGGGAGACCCAGCGTATAAACATCAGGGTGGCCCCAATCTAGCATCTTGTTGTGTCTGGAGGAGCCTGGCCATTTGTGCTTGAGGGGAAGGGGCCCAGCCCCACCTTCCCACCCTCAGGGGCCAGCCTTGGTGAGGAAAGGCAAGGGGCTGGTCTCCTCTCCTCTCCCCTCCCTCCTTCAAAAGTGTATATAAAAATTCCAATACAGTCTTCTCATAGAGAAAAAAAACCCGAAAGCCCTACCCTCAACCCTGCACATTTACTGCAACAGACGGAGACATCTGGCGAGAGGGCGGTGGAGCCAAGAAACTTCCTATAAATTTAAATTCGATGATGGTTACAATTAACTCCACAACAAACGTGTACTTAAACGGAAAGCGTTGCTGGGCGTTTGGACGCTGCACAAGCTGCACGTGAGAAAGGGGAGCTTTAAGAGTAGCCCTGGAATGTCCTGGGCCGGAGAGCAGCAGGAAGCTACGGCTCCTGCCCCTGCCAGCAGAGAGGGTACAGGCCCACCAGCTTGGGCCTACCTCACCTTCACAGCCTGCCCTCACCAGCTGGGCCCTACCCACCATCCTCCTCCTCCGCCTTGGGAGCACTGAGGATTTTAAGAGGAGAAGGGCTAATAAAAGGGTCAAATAAAATCATAATATTGAACAGAATGAAATATCTTTATTTGCCACCAAAAAAAAAAAATTCACAGCAATCCCTCTGGGACAGGAGCAAGGTGGGGATTGCACACGTACACGCGCACTCACGCTCATGGAGAGAGATGGGTGATTTGACTCTCATTCCAGGCGAGTCTCCCCCCCCCAACCCCCAACCCATCCCCTCTGGGTAGAAAGAAACGCTTGTGAAATTTATTTACAAAAATTCAGGCCCCAGCATGGGGGAGGCGTCCAATCCCACCTCCCTCCTGCCTCCTCCACCCTAATCGTTTTTTTTTTCCTTAAAAAAAAAAAAAAAAAGAAGGGAGGTAACAACTGCATAGACTATAGCTATAAATCCATGGAGTGGGGCACGGCTTGGAAATAGGTTAGGAAACCTCAATGCACCAGTTAAGAAATTTCAAAGGAGGGCTCTACACGTTCACAAGGAGAACAACTAGGCTCAGGCGGGGCCTGGGCGCAGACGGAGGTAGGACACGGACTTTGCACACCTAACACCAGGTCGAAGGTACAGAAATTTCACAGCAAGGCAGGATCACATTTAGCTGCCCCCCAGCAGCGGGGGGGTAGGTGGGGCAGGGGTGGGGAGCCCAGGAAGTCCCCCCTGGCAGACACGGTGTCTTAGCAGAGATCTTCTCACTGGGCAAGGGAAGGCTTTCGGTCCCAGGATTGCTCGCTCAGGCGCCCACTACCCTCGCCCCCGCCCAACCCGAGCAGCAAGACATTGTCGCGAGGTGTGTTTTCTTTTTAAATAAAGAGTCTTGGCCTCGGCGCCGACCACGTCCACTCGCCGTGGGTTAGACACTTCCCTTCACCCTCTTTCCAGGCCCGGTCCCTGTCCCACAGTGAGTCGGATGGAAGGTGAAGGAGGTTCCAGAGAGAAGAAGCGCGGGCGCCGGCAGTGGGGGCCAGCCCTGGCCACAGTCCAGTTTTCCACCCGCGGAAAGAAGGCGAGTTAGAAAACAAAAAATAAAAATAAAATAAAATAATTTCTCCCCTTTCTTCCCCCCCACCCCACCCGGCCCCCGCCCCCAGAAGGGCCCGGTCTGCGGTTACAGCAGAGGATTTCCCGAGAAATACTGCAGCCGGTCTCTGCTCAGTTTTTTTTCTTTCATCCTTCTGTTCTGAAACCAAATTTTCACTTGTCGGTCCGTCAGGTTCAGCATCCGGGACAGCTGCAGCCGCTTCTCTTTGTTGATATACACGTTGAAGAAAAACTCTCGCTCCAGTTCCCGGATCTGGAATTTCGAATAGGGGCAGCGCTTCTTGCGGGTGCGGGGGGCGTCTGGAGGGGAGGGGAGGGAGGGGGCGATGCGAGGAGAGGGGAGAGAGACACGTGAGACCCGGGCCGCCCCGCTCCCAGCCCCGCCGCGGCCGCCCTCCCGCCGGGCCTGCCTGCAGAAGGCGCCGGGCCCGGGGCTGGCGCAGGCCCCGGACCCCCCGCCGGCCGGGCCCGCGGGGTCGCCGCCCTCCCCGGGCCCCGGGGCGCGGGGGGGGGGGGCGCCGGCCAGGTGCGCCTTGGGGCTCGGCCCGGCGCTGCGCGGCCTCCCGGGGGCGCTGGGAGCCCCCGCCCCGGCTTTGCGGGGCGCCGTGGAGAGGGGCGCGCGGGCCGAGCGCGCAGGCACCGAGGCCTCCCGAGAGCGCACGCGGGGCCCCGGAGCCCGGCGGGCCGCGCCTTCCACGCTCCCGGGCTGGGCCGGCGCCGCGAGGCCGCGGGGCGCGGGGAGGCTGAGCCCCGGGGCCGCAGCCGCCTCTCCCCAGCGCCCCCCTCCCCGCCGCCCCGGGGGGCTCCGCGCGGGCCCCGGAACGCACCCTCGGCCCGGGCCCGTTGCAAAAAAAGCAGCTTTTCAGAGCAGCCCAGCCGCCCGGGTCTCAGGTTCTGCTCCGTTGCTTCTCCCCCCACCTCCACTCCCCCTCTCCGAGTTTCTCCCTGTCTCTCCCTCGCCCTCCCCTTCCTCCCCCTCCACCCCTCCCCTCCGTCCCACCCCACCCCCGGCAGGCAGCCCGGCTCCCCATCCTTCCTTCAACGCTCCTCTAAGTTCACGATCAAAGTTAATATCGCTCGCGATGGTGGCGCTTTTAAAAAATTTCACAGACCGAGGGAGAGATAGCGGGGAAGCGGGGGGGGGGGGGGCTCATTCACCCGGCTTTTCCAAAGCGCCCTTTTCCCTCCCTCCCCACCCCTTCTCCATCGTAAAAAGTCGAGTCGTTGGGAGAGAGGGCTTTGTAGGTTATAATAAAATCCTTCGAATGCTTATAAAACTCCACATAAAACCGGACTGACCCAAAACACGAGGCCGCCCCGCGCGCCCGCTCCCCGCGCCTCCCCCCTCCCCGCGCCCTCCCGGCCGCCGCTACCTACTGGGGGCGGCTCCCTTGGCCGGCTCCTTGGCCGCCGCCGAGTGGGCTGAGCCGGACGAGCTGGGGTTCGTGTTCTCCTCCTCGGCCTCGGCCTCGGCCCCCGCGTCCGCCCGGGGCGCCAGTCCCGCGGCCGGGGTCGCCTCGGGCTCCCCCTTGGCCTCGCCCTTGCCGGGGCAGGGGGGCTCGGCGGGCGCGTCGCCGCCGCAGTAGGCGTTGTCGAAGAAGCGGTCGAAGGCTTGGGGCAGGACGCTGTTCTTGCTGACCGAGGAGTAGAAGCCGGCGGGGGCCGCGTGCGGGGCGCCGGGGTGGTGGTGGCCGCCGTAGGAGCCTTCGTTTTTCATGAGGATCTCGGTGACCGTGGAAGGAGGCAGGCACTCGCGGTGCATGAGCTCGTCGGCCGCCGCATAGCAGGAGGAGTAGCTGTTCCGGGGGTGCCACTTGCCGGAGGGCTCCAGGCCGTAGGAGACCTCGCGGACCGGGGGCACCTGGGCGGAGTAGGGGTAGGAGATCTGGCGAGAGGGGGCCTGGGGCAGGAAGGAGGAGACCGTGGAGAACTCGGGCACGTAGTAAGTGCAACTGGGCAGATAGAGGTTGGAGGCGCAGCTCCCTCGCTCGCCGAAATCAGCGCCCCTCTCCTTGCGCGACGGCGAGCAGAAGTTGCCCAGGTTGACCGAGTTAAACATCGTTCTCCTCTCCTGCCGGCTCCAGATGGAGGTTTTGGACCCGATCTGGCGAGGGGGGGAAAAATTTGGGAAGGCGAGATGACGCGTTATCCGTCTTAGTCTCTCTCCCCGAGCACGTGATCCAAAGTAGATATTGTCATATATCAGTTCGGAGCACTTCGCAGACGTAGGAGGGGTTCTCTCTTAGGTAAGATGGGGACGTTCAGGCGATTGGTTTGCAAACACCGCAGAAACATTATGAAAATCAATTGCAGATTTGTATTCGTTTTTCTCTCGTCACTCCCCTCCTCTCCATTCCACAGGGCGAGCAACGGAGGAGAGAGAGAGAGAGGGTTGGGGTGGGGTGGGCGGTGGGATGGGCGGGGGCGGTGGCTGAGAGGGGGTGATTGTATTTTTTTTCCCTAGCTGCTGCTCTTCCTCTTCTTCCCCCCCCCCCTCACCCCAGGATTAGGAGTAGGAGGTGGGTCTTGCCCACGTCTGGGGGTGGGGGGGTCTTGCCTCCTCCCGGAGATGAACCCAACACCGAGGTAGGGATGAAGTCCTCCTTCCCCACCGCCTGGTTCCGCGGGAGATGTGAATCCTGCCCCCCCCCCCCAACTCTCAGGGACTCTTACCCCGCCAACCCGCAGAGGGCCAGTGCCTGTTTACAAGAGTTTGAAGAAGTCCATCCTTTTCTTGGCCAGGGCTGTATGTCAAGACTCCTTTTTCCCTTTTGGAGAGACTCCTCAGAAGAGTATGTGAAGTTTTCCAAAGGTGAGGCAGCCCAGCAGCAAGCCAAGTGTCCCAACTTTGTCTGGCTTGCTGTGCTGCCTGCGGCTAGGGACTCAGATTAGTCATAAACGAGTGGTAAGCAGTGCGCCAGCCGCCCAGCCGGTGCCTGGCGAAGTCTGGGAAAAACCTTCTCTAATGTTGTGTTAAATATTTAGTATGAGAGAGTGGCCCTGGGTGAATATTTCATGCCTGCCTTTATTGTCAATCAATGTGCAGAAAGCTACATCCACTGTGGATTTTTAAATCTCAGACCCCGCAGATGAAGATCAGAATGAGAGCCATGTATTCTCTCTGTCCAGGGGGTCCTTTGGGTTGGGGGCTCAAGCCTCAGCTTGGGGGCTGAAAAGATGCCCAGAGTCAGGGTTCAGGAAGTATATGAAGGGAGGAGGTAGGTGGGTGGGTGCTGGGTTTGGGGCTCTTATCCCTGAATGATTTGGGGGCTGGGAGGTGGGCAGTGGGGCCAGGTGTGGGTCTGCTGGACAGACTAGCAGGGCAGGGGAAGGGAGCTGAGGAACCTGGGTGGGCTGGGCAGGGCAGGGCCAGGGACCACTCCCTCATGGAGGCCCTCAGCCCTGTTCCCAGGTGGCTGGAGGCAAGGCCTTGGTGCCTCTTTCCCGTGTTTCTTAGCCCTGCCCTGCCCTCCTCCCAGTCCACCAGCCTCCTAGATAGCTGTGGCCCAAGAGGTGGACTCAGAGGCGCTGCCCTCCTTCGCCTCCCATCCCTCTGGGCACTGTGGGACACATCTAGGCAGCTGAGAATCACTTTATTGAAAGGTTCTGGACTGGATCCAAGGGGCCAAAGCACTCCCCACAAGCAGAAAGCAACCTTGGATCCAAGGAGGAGCTGCCAGGGCGTGATTTGTTCAGGTAGGAGGGGAGGACTGAAACCCACAAGGACTCAGGGAAAGCCAGAAATGGCCCAGACCCTCTTTGACCCCCTAACTCTTGGTTAAAATTGATTTCTACTTTAAAAATATTATTTGGATTTGATTTTCCTTGCCGAGCTTGCCGAGATACAGAGGCCCCCAAACCAGATGGAGAAGACACAAAAAATCAGATCATGTCCCCAAATAAGACTCCCCAAATCCATTCCTTCTCAACCCTCCTGCCTCCCCAAATGTGCGCAGCCTTTAGAGCATCGCCTGGAGTGGAGTCACGCTTGTCATGGGTCCCCTTCTTGGGGTAGCTCTGAAATACCCAGGGATAGGCCTCCAGCATCCTCATCCCCATCAGCTTCCTGAGCCCTTTAGTCCCAGCCTGATCTTAAATGGGGGCAAAGAAGAACTAGATTGGGACTTTGCTCAAGTGTGGGGCTTCTCCGTCAGTGAGAAGCTGCAGGAAGAAAAATCTGTTGCTTTTCCTCCTTCCTCTACCTCCTTTTATAGGGTGACCTGGGGCTAGCGTTTTTAATTATAATGATGGGGAACTATGGACTATGGCTTTTATAGGGTTCGTCCTGACCTCATTAAACGCAAGTTTATTGGAGGCAGAATGTTCCCCAAACAGTGATAGGAACCAGCAAGAGGGAAGTGAGAAGTACCCCTATCCCTTGCAGAGGTGGGGATGAGGGCACAGAGTCTGGGGCTTCAGCTTTCCCCAGTTTCCCCCAGGACCCTGCTTCTTTCTCCATCCTGGCCTCCAGGGCGTTGTGGGGCCTAAGCCCCCAGGCAAATTCTCTGCTGCCCGGGCCGACAGTGGGGAGGGGGTACGCTTCCTGTGAGGAGCCAGCTGTGGGCCTGAGCACTTGAATTTGACCACCAAAGTTTATTCCAGGGCCACCATAAAAGTGAGCCAGTCGGCTGCAAGGAGCCACTGGCGGCTTTATTTCCTTGAAACAAAAAAGAAGGCAAGAAAGAATGTCAGAGAAGTTGATGTCCAGGAGACTCTAGGGTCTCTCAACAGAGGCTTCTGAGAATTAATATTCTTCCCCCAAAAAACAAGGCATGAAGTTCAGGGTTTGTTTGTTGTTGTTGTTGTTGTTTTTTTCTAGTTTTGGTCTGACTTTTAATTTTTCAACAACTTTTTAAAAATCCCAGCACCTGGAGATTGCTGCTGGGGTCAAGGAAAGAAGGCTCTGGCCACTGAGGTCAGCAAGGCAGTGATGGGCGGAAATGCCCACGCTGCGGGCTGGCCACTTCCCCGCGCAGCCCTAGGTCCGGGACCACTCCAGAGCATAGGCTGAGTGGCTAGTCCCAGGCCGCACCCCAGGGCATCAGTGCATCCCACCCACAACTGAGGCTCAACTATGGTCCCAAGTCGACTCCCAAGAGCCCTGACAAGTCCTTGTCCCTGGCGGGAGGTGGCTTCCCCTCCCCCATCTCTCGGGTGCCTGTGGCCCTTCCACAATCCTGGCGCCCCGATTTTCACCTGAAATCCTCCAGGGCAGGGCCGGCCTGTCCTTCCCAGCTCTTGGTGGCTCGGTCAGCACCTCCAGCCCGCCCGCCCGGCCGCCAGCAGCTGCTGTGCCACTCTGGCCAGGACCTCTACAGACTCGGGGGCTCCCCTCCACACGCCCACACCAGAGGCGGCTTCAGAAGGGGGCAGTATCTCCTGAGTGCTGAATCCCCACACGGGAGACCCCACACGCTGCACTGACTGGCCCTGCAGCTTGTCCACCCCGATCTAGAGAGCAGATTGGGGCGTGGGGCACGGGGCCCACCCCAGAGACCATCACCAGGAGGGGAAGCGAGGGAGGAGAGAGAGGGCCCTTGAGAGCTCCGATGGGCTCGGACTCTAAGTTCAGGCCGCTGTGGGGTCAGTGCAAGGTAAGCAGCCGGCGCTGGAGCCTTGGCCGCCAGACGAGCACTCCAGAAATCGGCTCGCACCTCCTCGCGCCGGTCTCTCCCCCAGAGCAACACCCCGGCTTTACCAACCTCTCTGGCGCTCGGGGATTTTCAGGCCAGCAGCTCCCGCGCACCCGGGACGCATCCCACCCCTAGCCGAAGAGCTGGGGGATTGCACTGCCCGGGCTCGGCCCCCACCTCTCCTCGCCGGCCGCCGTCACCCCAAGCCCAAGGGCCCAAGTGAGGTCACCCGAGCCCCCGGAGCTGAAAGGGGAGGGAGAAGGGCAGCTTCTCCCCCCCCAGCCCCACCCACCTTCCTCCCCCGAGGGATTGTCCCAGGAGGCTAGCAACGCGACCCCAGTTTCTCCCCATAAAAGTCCCATTTTACGAGCCAGTTTCCCTGGGCCCCTCACCAAATGCTCTAAAACGAAGGAAATGTCTTAAAAGCAGTCTGAATTGGAGCCGCTCCCATTGGACCTTGGTGCCCAAACCCAGTTGCGGCGGCGCGGAGCTGCCTCTCTGGGCGGGATTGCCCGGGGCCACCCGAGCCGGCGTCCCCGCCGCCCCGGCCCAGGCCGCCTGCCCGAGCCGCCATTCCCTGGCTTTAGCGCCTGCTCAGGCTCGGACCCAGTCCGCGCAGATCAAAGTGAGCTCGCGGCATTTTTATGAGATGAACTTCAGTGGCTCTTTACTTGTAATCAGACGCCTGGGTCGAAAATGCAAAAGGGAACAGCCCATCAATCCAAAAAGGAAAAGGAGGGGGAGAGAGAGGAGAGACACACACACACACACACACACACACACACACACACACACACAGAGCACTAGGGAGAAGAGGGGGACTGGGGTGAACAAATTCAGGTGACACATAGCAGGAAGATTCTGGTCACCACCACCAAAAAAGAGACCCTGTGCCTGCAGCAAGAGCGGTCTGTGGGTCTGTCCAGTCTCCAGGCCCCGCCATCTGCCTGTACACTTCGCCCCGGTTTCCGGGGGGCCGGGAAACCTGACTCGCCTGCGTGCTGAAGCCCGATCCGAAAGCTTCCACAGTTTGGACGCGCCATGTAGGGCGAGTGTGGCCGCCTCCACTCTCTTGCCCCAGCGGGGAAGTCGCCTTCTGCTCATGATTTAAAAGAGCATTTTGCTGCTTTTCTCTCTGCGGTCTCCGCGGCTCTCTCGTCACTACAGCCAGAAGTTGAGTTACAGGAAGATTCGCCAGAGATTTATCGCCTGGCTCCAAACTTGGAGAGCCCCGTTGTCATAAACAGCCGTCTATTGTCTAGACTTTTATCTCCGGGTATGGATCGTGCATTATGGAGGCTCAGGGGACCCGGGTCTGGCTCTGTGGGGTGTTCGTGCAGCCCAGTGTTTGCCCCTTGCCCCCCAGGGTTGCTGCGGGTAGGTTTGGGGAAGTGCACAAGTGTGTGTGTGCTCCTGGAGCTGGGCA